GTAGCCCATCTGCCTCAAAGTTCGACGTACTGTGCGTTCAGAGATGCTCTTCTGCCCACCTTGGTTGTAACGGGTGGTTATTTGAGTCACTGTTGCCCTTCTATAAGCTCGAACCAGTCTGGCCATTCTCCTCTGACCTCTGGCATCAACAAGGCATTTCCGCCCACAGAAGTGCCGCTCACTGGATGTTTTTTCTTTTTCGGACCATTCTCTGTAAACCCTAGAGATGGTTGTGCGTGACAATCCCAGTAGATCAGCAGTTTCTGAAATACTCAGACCAGCCCTTCTGGCACCAACAATCATGTCATGTTCAAAGTCACTCAAATCACCTTTCTTCCCCATACTGATGCTCGGTTTGAACTCCAGGAGATTGTCTTGACCATGTCTACATGCCTAAATGCACTGAGTTGCCGCCATGTGATTGGCTGCTTAAAAATTAAGTGTTAACGAGCAGTTGGATAGGTGTACCTAATAAAGTGGCCGGTGAGTGTATAATGATTTTACATGAAAAGCAGTGTCAAGCGTGGATGCAAATGAACTGACTGTCTTTACTGTCACTGAACACAAAGCAGTTTGAGTGGGAGGGTATCTTTCTCAAGCCCATGGCCACCAATGATGTTTAAGTTATCGCTGACCAAGCTATTAGTTACAAAGTAGAGATTTAAGTTAAATATTGATGTTTTCTATTGGGGACAGTGCTTTTAACCCAAATCATTTAAGTTTTTTTTTTTTCTGATTCAGAATTTCATTCTATCTCAGTCCCACACCTGCCTGTTTTTTTATAGACTTACACAATCCTTTATATAAGTGAACTACAGTTCTTGTGAAATGCTGTACCATTCAAATGGCTGTTTATCTACCTGTTGTGGCCATTGTTTCTGTGAAGAAGGTCCTTTTCTGAACAACCAACTGAAATGTAAACAGCACATGCCTACAATCTAGGATTCAGCATCAAAACAATATTTGTTGTTAATTTCCCATCTTTTTAGAGAGTCTTCTTGATTTCTTTCTTATAGACCTTCCAGTCTGGAATTGTGCTGGATGATACACTTGTTTTAGTGCTCCCATCTCCTTGCCAAGAAAGTTGGGACGTATTGTAACTTCAGTAGCAATGAAAGTATTGAAAATGTACAAATTCCATCACAGCAGTGGTTTGGTCTTATAAGGTGATAATTTATTTTTCCTCAATAGGAAAAAAAATAATCTAAGATTCCTTTAGAGTAGTAAACTAAAATCTATATCAGATTGGTGGCACTGAGTGCACCTCTTCCACTGCTGGCTTAAAAAATGAACAAAGTGCTACATTTTTACAAACATGCCCAGATCGAGACAGACCTTATTTTAGATATCAACTTTATACATTCCTATAAGTTCAACAAAGCAACATTTTGTCTTGATCTATGCACTAATGGCTGGCCTTATTGCTCACTCCATCCCCCTGTCTAACTCTGCCCAGTTTTTCATTACTGCTCATCTAATCCACCTGCTGCTGCTTCTATTTATACGGCTCAGTCCCAGCCATTGTGGCCAGATTATTGATTCTGATGCTAGATCTAGTGCTTGCTCTCGGAGGCC